CGGTCCTCTTACTGCAAATTTGGGGCACTGCGCGGTCAAGCTAATGTGACACCAGATAGGAGTGGTGTGTGTGGCGAAACCAACCTCGCCACTGTGAACTGGAGAAGCCTGGTTGCTCGCCTGCTCCCTTTGGACTATGGCCCTGCAGGTTAAACTGTTTATTTCCCTTGCAGAAAGGCTTATTTGTGTGATCTGAGTGCCATTCATCTAATAATGTGCACTCAGATCCCAGCTATCTGGGGATATGTGAAATGTCTGTGTGTTATGTGTAAATGTGACTTTATGTATTTTAAAGTGTTTTGTGTCTTTTGCAACCATGTGCTTAATGGAGTCTTGTGTCTATCCTGGGAGATAATTGAATTACTCTCCAGGATAGAAGACTCTGAAACTGGTTTGGGCCAGAAAGCCATGCTTCATTTAGCCACAAAGGACTTTTTACTAACTTTTGAACCCCTTGTCTGATTTGTGCCATTTTTTAATATGTTGTTCCCCTGAATGGATTGATTGTGAATATGTAATTTTATGTGAATGTGATGTATGGTTTTAGAGTTATGAAAGTTGGGTAGAAAGTATGTTTTTAACTGTATGTGTAATTGAGTTTCCTCTCAGGATAAGGGGAGGGAATATGTGGGATGTAACTGATATGTGATTGGTTGTTTTGTAACGCCCTGTGGGCTGTACTATGTTTGTGGATTGGGAATAAAAGAGACTGTATGTGACAGTACAGAGAGTTCCTGCTTAACCCTCAAAGTGAAGTGTCGTCTCATTATTGGGGAAGGATTTATTGTATGCTGTTCCAGTTTGACTGCTAGGAGAGTAAACCTATTCGTATGGTTCCTATTCAACTGTCTACAGCATTCATATGCTTGGGAGAATTTATTTGTTTCTCCGGTTCAGTGGTTTTGGTGTCTGCTGCAGTGCTTGGAGTCCTCAGGAAGCGCTAGGAGCATCCTTTAACGGAGGTACCCAGTCGGGGTGCCAGGCGATCCGTTACATTGGTGGCAAGCGGTGGGATGGCGTCCTAGTGCGAGGTAAAGCAGCTCAGAGACACCGTTCGTGGAGTTACAAATTGAGGGCAACGCTAGCACACGTGCAGCGCCCCTGGGAGCAGAGGTATCCAGCGACTTGGAGCAGACAAGTATGGAAGGCTCTGGCGATGATTGGATGGCCGAGGTGAGGCAGCGAGTGGCCCAGTATGGGGATGATTTACCCATGGAGGTACGCCGGGTGATCTGGAACCAGGTCACGGCCGAGCGAAACACAAGGCTGGCCCGAGAATTCCGGCTGGCAAAAGAGAGAGAGTACGCTCAGCGGAAGGAGTGTTACAGCAGCCGAGTAGAGGCTGCATCCGAGGAGGCTAGCCGTCTCCCCCTGAGGCGGCCACAGGAACCCGAAGTAGGGGTCCTCATAGACTGGTCCTGTGAGGAACCACAACAGGCAGGTGGAGATGGGACTGGCCCAGATCTCCAACAGCAGCCAGAGTTGCCAGGTGCGGAAGCAGGTGGTCCTTACTCACAAATGTTGAGGGACCTCACAGACTGGTCCTGGGAAGACCCACAGATGGCAGGTGGAGATGGGACGGCGGTCTCTCTACCGGCCCTACAGGGATGCTGGGCGGCCGGCCCAGATCTCCAGCGGCAGTGTGTACCCCAGGGAGCAGAAGGTGCCGTCCTTCCTCCCCAGCGGCAGTGTGTACCCCAGGAAGCAGAGACCGTCTGTCTCGCACCCCAGCCGCAGGACAAAATATTGAAAGGGGAGACAGTTGGTCCACCTCTCCACCAGCAAAGAGAGTGTCAGGGAGAGGAGCAGGTTACCCCCTCTCCCCAGCGGCAGTCTACATTTCAGAGAGAGGAGCTTGTTACACCCTCTCTCCAGAGGCAGCCTAACCCACCAAGGGGAGATGTTAAGCCCCACAACTATGCAGAGGGGACCGTAGTCTCTGCACTTGCAGCACCAGGGGTAGGGACAGTCGGTCCTGTCCCCCAGCCACAGAGCAGTGTATCCAGAGGGGAGACAGTCGATCTCCCCCTCCCACAACCAGGCTCCAACCAGGCTACTTCAGTGGTAGCGTTGGCACCCGGGCAGAGTACCGCTGGTCTCTGCCCACTCAGCAACCCACCAAGGCAGTCTACCAGACCCCCGCACAGCCGTGGTGAGGCACCTGGACATGGACAAGTTGCTATTTTATCCAGGTGTAGTAACCAGTTATTGTGGGTGGGCTGTATTGCTGTTTGTGCTTCGTGGGTGGGTTGCTGGACTAACCAGGGCACTGACCGGCAGGAGGTCAGATACCCTGTTAGTCTAGTTGGTAAAGGGGAGAAGTGTGGCGAAACCAACCTCGCCACTGTGAACTGGAGAAGCCTGGTTGCTCGCCTGCTCCCTTTGGACTATGGCCCTGCAGGTTAAACTGTTTATTTCCCCTGCAGAAAGGTTTATTTGTGTGATCTGAGTGCCATTCATCTAATAATGTGCACTCAGATCCCAGCTATCTGGGGATATGTGAAATGTCTGTGTGTTATGTGTAAAATGTGACTTTATGTATTTTAAAGTGTTTTGTGTCTTTTGCAACCATGTGCTTAATGGAGTCTTGTGTCTGTCCTGGGAGATAATTGAATTACTTATCTCCAGGATAGAAGACTCTGAAACTGGTTTGGGCCAGAAAGCCATGCTTCATTTAGCCACAAAGGACTTTTTACTAACTTTTGAACCCCTTGTCTGATTTGTGCCATTTTTGAATATGTTGTTCCCCTGAATGGATTGATTGTGAATATGTAATTTTATGTGAATGTGATGTATGGTTTTGGAGTTATGAAAGTTGGGTAGAAAGTATGTTTTAACTGTATGTATAATTGAGTTTCCTCTCAGGATAAGGGGAGGAATATGTGGGATGTAACTGTGATGTGATTGGTTGTTTTGTAACCTCCCTGTGGGCTGTACTATGTTTGTGGATTGGGAATAAAAGAGACTGTATGTGACAGTACAGGGAGTTCCTGTTTTAACCCTCAAAGTGAAGTGTCGTCTCATTATTGGGGGAAGGATTTATTGTATGCTGTTCCAGTTTGACTGCTAGGAGAGTAAACCTATTCGTATGGTTCCTATTCAACTGTCTACAGCATTCATATGCTTGAGAGGATTCATATGCTTCTCCGGTTCGGTGGTTGTGGTGTCTGCTGCAGTGCTTGGAGTCCTCAGGAAGCGCTAGGAGCATCCTTTAACGGAGGTACCCAGTCGGGGTGCCAGGTGATCCGTTACAGTGTGTTTAGTACTATTTTTATCAGTTTAATACCTTCCGCGTCTCCTATCAGTGGACGTGTACACGGCATTGATTTTTGTAACAGGGAGATGGAAGAAGAGGCTTGGTCGGTCCTCTTACTGCAAATTTGGGGCACTGCGCCGTCAAGCTAATGTGACACCAGATAGGAGTGGTGTGTTTAGTATTGTTCTGATCAGTTTAATACCTTCCGCGTCTCCTATCAGTGGTCGTGTACACGGCATTGATTTTTGTAACAGGGAGATGGAAGAAGAGGCTTGGTCGGTCCTCTTACTGCAAATTGGGGCACTGCGCGGTCAAGCTAATGTGACACCAGATAGGAGTGGTGTGTTTAGTATTGTTCTGATCAGTTTAATACCTTCCGCGTCTCCTATCAGTATCGGTAATACTTACTGATTTTGTAACAGGAAAAGATGGAAGAAGAGGCTTGGCCCGTCCTCTACTGCAAATTTGGGGCACCGCGGTCAAGCTAATGTGACACCAGATAGGAGTGGTGTGTTTAGTACTATTTATCAGTTTAATACCTTCCGCCTCCCATCAGTATCGCGGTACAGCAGTAATTTCTGTAACAGGCAGATGGAAGAAGATGCTTGGTCGGTCCTCCTAACTGGAGACTGTGTTGCTGTACGGTTGGCAGGTGGAGCCATTTATAAAGTACACACTGCTTTATAAAGCCATTTATAAAGTACACACTGGCGGCTTGAACCCTAGTTGGTGGCTGATAAGTCACGCAAGTCAACAGGCATTCAGAGCTAAAATACAGCAGCGTGTGGACCATTTTTAGCCCAAGGCAGCTCATCTCATCAGGCCTTTTTTACATAGGGTCACTTGGCAGATATGGATTGACACCTGTCCTAGGGATCCCTGATACACACTGACACAGAGCAGAATAGGGACTGTTCCTCCCACAT